ACAACAACAATCCGTGTCCTCATTTTACCCAACTTGGTAGGATGGAAGGCTGAGTCAACCTTGAGCCGGTGAGATTTGAACAGCCGAACTGCAAAACTGCAGTCAGCTGAAGTAGCCTGCAGTGCTGCATTTAACCACTGCACCACCTCGGCTCTCACAATAATGAAGGAACAATTGAGAAAACACATGAAACTATCAGCAACATCTTTAAAGGATAAAATTCACAAGGGAAGAAGAAAATAACCACACACTACCTTTTCTGGATATCTTCTTCAGGAGAGGAAATGGCAGAAAATTAGAAAAGCAAGTCTATCGAAGAATCACCCACACTAACCACATGCCCCATTACCAAAGTAACAATCCAATCTCCCACAAAGGGATATATATATAAGAACATTACTCAGATGAGCACAAACTCACTACAGCAACCCAGAATACCAAGAAAATAAATCAGACTTGCTATTCAACCTCTTCCAACAAATTGGATACCCATGCAATTTTATCAAAAAGTACCTGACTATTCAACTCACTACAATACAATCAACACAAGTTATGAAAAGAATAATAGTACCATGCATTAAAAAAATTCAGAAATAACCAACAGGCTCTTAAACCACACAACAACACAAATAAACTAAAGCACTTCGAAACATCTTAAGTAAATCAAAAGACTCAGTAGCCCAAGAAAGAAAGAAAAAACATTAGTCATCTACAGCAGGATAAAACTGTAACAGCCACTAGGCAGGACAAAAAGGCAGAGGACTAGCAGTCTTCACATCCATGAAAATAAGGGTCAGAAGATGTGGACAAACTCAGCTATGATTTCAACAGGGAAACTGTAAACATTCTAAATTAATCTTAAAAAATGCTAGGGAATTTCTGGATGATTGGTACTCAGACAAATAAGGGATCAACAGGCACATAGAGATAAACTACATTTACATACCATTCAAAAAGGACAATAAAAAAGCTAAAAGGGGGGTCAGATTACCTCTTCATCAACAATCAACACTAAGATAAAGAGGAATTAACACAAGGATTAACATCAGACAAACATTCAAGCAATAAACAATACCCTAATTAAGGAAGTAGCAACTCAGACAAATAATCAAATAGTAAACAACAGGCTGATCAAGGCAACACAGGGTGGGGGAAACACCCTCATAAATACTGACAAAGAAAGCTACTATATTTAAACAGAGAGCAAACTCCCTTCTCTTCAAGCACTGAAGATGTCAGCTAATCTGGTAACAAAATGTCTGCAAGTAAACAACTAAGCTCAGAGAGCACCAAGATTATCTGTTCAACTGTAATTTACATATATTCTCTTCTATTAAAATTAATATTTTTGTATTTAAATGGCCATAATAATCAACATAATATAATATTCCCTATCACCAAATATATAATAACTATAATATTTTGTATTATATTGATTATTATGTGCAGCAACAAGAAGAACTGAACATGAGAAGTGTTTGTTATTTGTTTTCTATTATTTAGAGTTATACTATTCATATTGATGGAAAAATTGCAATAGAGCACAATCCTATGTGTGCTTATTCAGAACAAAGTCTCATGATATACAGCTAAAATTACTCTCAAATAAATGCTAGATCTGCTCTGTGCCAGTCCAATGCAGAGGTGGTATTCAGCAGGTTTTGACCAGTTCAGATAGCGAAAACGTTGAGTAGTTAGAGAACCGGTAAATACCACCTCTGACTAACCGTGCCCCCATCTATTCTCTCCTTTCTGAATGCCAGCTGATTGGGAGGAAATGGAAATTTTGCAGTAATCTTCCCCTGGAGTGAGGAGGGAATGGAGATTTTACAGTATCATTTCCCTGCCACGCCCACCAAGCCAAGCCACCCCCACAAGCCATGCCCACAGAACCAGTAGTAAAAAAAATTGGATCCCACCACTGGTCTAATGCCTTAATAAATGGCAAGCCTGATTTCTTCATGAGGGATAATCCAAAACAATGGAACCGTAATAACAAGTTTCTAGCCTTGGCTCATTTCTGTGCATGAAAATGAGGGAAAGAAATACTTCTTTGCAGGATTATCGTACATAATGTTTTGGTTCTGGTAGGAAGAGGCAGTCTAGCAAGTACCTTGGTGCCAAGCTATAAGTCACCAGCAAACATTTTGAATGAGCCTTCAGTATAGATATTACCTGTTTCTGGTAGCTACCATATTGAATACCAACTGCAGTTTCAGAGTGCTTTTTCAACAGCAGCCACTGTACAGTGCATTAAAATACTCCAAATGCATTAGCGATGAGTAAATCCTTAACTGCCTAACTATACCCAACTGTCTCCTTGTGGTCAGGGAGTATCAACAGCCAATACCAATCAGTAAATCCATGAATCCCTGTCTTTGAAATGATGAAAAACAGCTCTTGACTTTCCTGTCATATTCATATAAATTATATTCATTTAAAGAGGGATCATATTTCCCCTTTAGCTTTCTTTTTGTACGAAAACATTACAAATTGCTTCAATGTTTCATCATTGTTTTTAAATCTCCTAATCATCCTGTCATTACTGAACCTGTTCTAATTTGCCTGATCAATTCTTCAACAATTGTGTTCATAGTGCTCAAGATGTATTTTGGTCACATCCAGTGGTGGGTTCCGTATCCTGGTGCAACTGGTACAGTGTAACGGGGCCCGGCATCTACCACATGAACCCGTGTAGCATGTGCATGTGTCCTTACCTCCTGTGACACCTCCGCAACGCTCCAGCTGCTCAGCACGGAAGTGCCAAAGAGCTCAAATACAGGTAAGGAGGGTGGGTGGGTGGGTGGGCCCTCCAGAGCACCATACTGGAACAGTACCCGGTGCTCCTGGCAGACACCGGTACGCTCGTACCAGGGCATACTGCCTGCAACCCACCACTGGTCACTTCCACTGCTGATGAAACCTAAGATTGTATTTACTTGTGTTTGGCAGCATATTATGCTATCAGTTATTTTTTAATTTGTAATCAACAGTATAACCCAACCCCTTTTATATGTGCCTTGGATTCTTGTTTCCTAAGCAAAGAATTTTACATTTGAGTTTGGTTCATGTCATTCTCTCAATTTTAGCACACATTTCAAATTTATCAAAATTATTTTGAATTTTATGTCTGTTTTCTGGGATATTAGTCCACCTGATTTTGTATCATCTGCAAATTTTATAAGCATTGATTTCAAATTATTAAAAAATGAGTTATCCCAGACCATAATTACAATATTAATGAGTACAAGGATTGGGACTAAATCTTGTGGCAATCGACTCAATACTCAATAACACTTTTGTGCAGCCCACACTTAATTAGATTACTAATCAAAGTAGCCTAGCATATTTATTTATGCATTTGATTGATTTGACTGCCACTTTGCCAACTGATGCTGGGTGGCTTAACAAATATGTCTAAACATTGTAAGGATCAATAATCCAAATAACTCATATTAGCACATCTTTACTGAAATCAAGATATATATCAAGATATATAGTATTTCAAAAATTGATTAATTAAAGTATGCAATAAAAATGTGGTAACCTAAAATTTATTCATTAGTGCCCATGCAACTTTTTGATCATTATCACATTGCTTTCAAACTGCTTAAAGATCAATTATGGCATAAACTGCTCTAGAATTTTATCAGATATCAGAATATTATAAAAACTATAACTGTCATTAAAAGTAGTGGTGGTGAATAGTACATCGGCAAATTTAACTTTTTAAATTTCAGATCATTATAGTTTCAGAGTTTATTTTACTCTACTGCATCCATGATAAAGAGATTCCTTTCAACCCTGTTTGGTGTGATCAAAAGGCACCCAATCACTTGTTATGTACAACATGACACCATGGTAAGCATTAATGTACCTAGTATATTCAGTGGCGGATTAAGGCTCACTGGTGCCCTAAGCACTGACCAATCTTGGTGCCCCTCCTTTGTACATACTGTAAAAATCTTCATTGGCTTTTTTTCTCTCTCTCAACTTCGGGCCTGGTCCCCTAACCACGTGCTTAGTCTGCTTAATGGTTAATACACCGCTGAGTATATTTGACACCTGAAGCACATCAGATTTAATATTCCCTTCCTTTGTTGTTGAGAACCACTTTGCTCTAATGGTTAAGGTACCAGGCTAGAACTGGGAGACCATGAATTCTAAGACCTAAATCAGTTAGGTGATCTGAACCCAATCATTTCTCTCAGACATAGGAAGAAATAAATGAATTTTTCATTTTATGAAAAATTTATTTATTTATTAAATTTATAGGCCGCCCAATCCCGCAGGACTCTGCCAAAATATTGCCAAGAAAACTGCAAGGGTAGTCACCAGGAATCAAAATAGACTTGAAGGCACACATTTCCTCTGTATCTGCTGCACCTATTGTCAAGCAACTGATCAGCATGCAGGCAGCAGTAATCTGACTCCACACCTCCCATACCTTCCTTCTATATTCAGCTGTGCCCCCTTATTGCCTGCATACAGAGAGGACTCTGTCCCCCATCCCCGTGATAAACTACTGATGTTGAAATGAAAGCGATAGAGAATAACCCCAGGAAGATCAGTTGTCATTGATAAAATCCAGGAACATATTTTGTGTGTGTGTTTGTGTGTGTGTGTGTGTGTGTGTGTGTGTGTGTGCATATGTGCATATATAATTTTTATTCTGCATAAAATAGCATTCACAGTGCTTTACACCTGTTTTCAAAATGAGGACCCAGTAACATTACTTCCAAGGGCATTCCTCTCTGGGCTGCAAAAATCTATATAAACAGTAGATGGCAAAGTTTTCAAAAAATTTTGCTTGCTCCTCATCGTGATTTCAAGATTTCAAGCTCAGATATATTTCCTAATCCTCTAGTTCAAAGAGAGAAAACAAGCAAAATTCTTCTAGATGGAAGCTTTTTCTTTAATCTTACCTTTTCATGAGTTTTGGAGAGCATTCCCTCTCTAGGTTGGAACACGAATGCTTCACATGCATGGCGTTGTAAGATGTGTGAGTGTAATCATTCTCATCGCTGTAATCCGGTCCGAGTAACGTCCGAGCCCATGTGCCCATATCATAGGGAGGAAGAGTCCCTCCAAACTCTGAAGGTAAGCAATCAGGGTGTATGAGCTGGTGAAGGCTGTTAAGATTGTTTCCGTGAAGAAAGATCTTTTTAAAAACAAAACAGGTATTAGATGTTGTTAGTTTATTTGTGCCATTCCAATAATCAAGATTTTTGTAAAAATAAGAAAAAAAGTACATTAATAGCAAAAGAACAATGGAATTGACCTTTATGTAAAACCAGAGGTGGCTTCCAGCAGAGACTACTGCCGGTTCGCTCAGATATGTGCTGCGCATTTGCACATGCACTTGATGTGCGCTGCATGCGCAGTACAACTAGAAGCAAAAAATGAGATGGTGGTGCATACGGCACTGCCTGGAGCACCGGTTCGGAGTTGTGGCAGGCCTAGGTCACTGTCAGTTCCAGCAACCCAGGCTGCTAAGCTACTACCAGTTCAACTGAACTGGTCTGAACTGGTAGGAACCCACCACTGTGTAAAACCTACCTTTGAATAATGTTTAGAAAGCTCTACGGGTAGTTCTGGACTTACAACAGTTTGTTTAGTGACCGTTTGAAGTTACAACGGCACTGGAAAAAGTGACGTGTGACTATTTTTCATACTTATGACCGTTGCAGCATCCCCATGGCCGCATGATTCACATTCAGATGCTTGACAATGGACCAACATTTATGACAGGTGCAGTGTCATGTGATCCCCTTCTGCAACCTTCTGACAAACAAAGTCAATGGGAAAACTAGATTCACTTAACAACCATATTATTAATTTAACAACTGCAGTGGTTCCCTTAACAAACATGACAAGTGAAGTCATAAAATGGGGCAAAACTCAACAAATTTTTCACTTAACAACATAAGTGAGAATTTTGGGCTCAATTGTGATCATAAGTTGAGAACCAGCTGTACTATTGTTTTGCAAATAATAATAATAATAATAATAATAATAATAATAATAATAATAATAATAATAATAATAGTGATTGGCCTGTTCAGTCAGCTTTTGTTGTTTTCATTGCCTTCTGATTTGTTTGCAGGCAAATAATTTTGGTCTCCCTATTTGGACATTCACACATTCAACAAGAGGTTTACCTTGTGAATGACAACAGAGTCCAGCCATTATGCCGAAATTGTTGACCACCAACTCCAGATAAAATCAGCCCATTTTCCCTGAAACTTGTCATGTATTTCAGCTCTTTCCAGATGTATTGGACTTCAGCTCCAACTAACAAGTCATATATCAGGAAACTGAGAGAGGTAGTTAATTGCACTCCTATTCTGCTACCTATTTGTTTTAGTATTCTTTTCATTTTTGTTCTCTGTCTCTTTTGAAAGATATTTTTAAGCATAGTCATCATCTTATTGTACTACTATCTTATTAGAAGGTGATACATATTTATATATGTATAAGAAATCTGTCAGCCATAAAGCAAGGATTGGATAACATCAATCCAATAAAATAATTCTGTGTTTGATTATTGAATAAACAAATGGTAATGAAAATATAAACTGTACAAACATGGATGAGAAAATAAAATGTTAAAGAACAATGATGTTGAAGTTTCCGTTCCATTTTGACTTTGATCTTTGAAGTTCTTCCACCATGAGTGCAGTACAGGGATCTCCAACCTTGGCAACTTTAAGACCTCTGGACTTCAACTCCAGAATTCCTCAACCAGCTTTGCATTAAAGGACATTGACAGAGAGCTGAGAAACCATTGCTATGGACACAGAAAACTCTGAGCATGAGAGAGCAGCAGCATCTGAAACCAAGTTTCTTCAGGTAAGATTCCTAAAGAACCCTAACCTTAAGTATGTCCAAACCTCTGAGCAACTATGTGCTCCTGCAACAGAAGTGTATAGAGGATACCTAGATTATCTCCAAATGGCAATACACACATGGTAATATCATGATGTAATATTTCACCCTTACGTATCCTGCATTCTGATATGTGATAAAAGTTAATGGTGTTTGAATCATGATGTCACAATGCATTTTTGCATTTGCTTCCCCCTTGTCCTCCCATAGATCCACATGCCCTGCAATCAAACAACAATGAGAGACTACAAAACATAACGCCATACATAGCAAGAAATTAGCACCCTCCACCTGTATTGCTCTCATAATAGGATTTTTAAAAATCATCACATTGAATTGACCTGCAATTTCTCACATCCAATATAACAACGGATGTCTTTATAAGATTTTTATATATAAAATTTACAGTAATGTTTTCTTATTGAAAGATTCTTGCCTCATTATGGATGAATGGACTCTACATTAAAAAAAAAAACCATAGTCTAATCCTCTCCATGGCTAGGCTGGTATAAGTATCATTAAATTCAAAAGATTTTATTTCTATGGAACTATTTGTAAAATTGCAGCTTGCTAATCTGTGTTCACAATGTTCCTCAATTTATTATAATTTTTTAAAAAGATTTGTTCAAGCAAATAGACTAGAGCCACATTATAACCAAATTGCCTCTGTGGCTACAATGCTTTCCATTAGAAGAATTGCATTTACAAGTAACTCTTTTAAACCATACATATGAATGAATTATATATTCATAAGTAGATAAAAACATCTCCATTATGCTTTTTTCCTGCTAGGATAAAATAATGTGACCCAAAGTACAGAAAAATAATAAAAAATAATAGTCTCAAAAAGGAAATAGGGAAATATTGAAGAAAGGGAAATCTAAATAAATCTAATTTGTTTAAGCATCATTTGCTATATCTCAGGATACTTTTCTAAACTTTCAAACAATTCTTCCTTGCTTTTATCATGTCCATATACTGCTTTGTACATGGTCTTATTTTTCTTTGAATATCTCAGGTAACGGTTCCCTTCGCAAATATGTGCTAGTCATTCCCAACTCTAGGGGGCGGTGCTCATCTCTGTTTCAAAGCCGAAGAGCCAGTGCTGTCCGAAGATGTCTCTATGGTCATGTGGCTGGCATGACTAAATGCCAAAGGCGCATGGAAATAGGTGGTCACTATTTTTCTACTTGCATTTTTACATGGTTTTGAACTGCTAGATTGGCAGAAGCTGGGACAAGTAATGGGAGCTCACTCCGTTACTGGGTGCTAGGAATTCAAACTGCCAAACTGCCGACCTTTCTGATCAAAAGCTCAGTGTCTTAGCACCTGAACCACCATGCCACTTTGAATATCTTATCTTTCACTTTTCAAAGATATTCTTAATTTTAGTCAACCACAATTTTTATGGTGTTGCTTCCTTCTTATGAATAGCTTTTATAACTTTACAAACTCTTGCTTACTATTTCTTACTTTTTATTTAGCATAATTTTGCATGTCCCAGCAAAAGAAAAATGGATGTATACTTATGCATTCATGCATCATAAAAATAAATATCTCAATTTTTTTTTATTTTATAAAAGCATTTGAAGTTTAACTATTATCAGTGATTTTGCTCTCAGCTGGTTACATAAAAGACAGCATACTAAACAGCAAAATTAGAGATTTCTCCCAAGGTTAAAATGTTTGGAAAAAAGGATTTGAAAACATAGACTTGAAATGTTATCTATCCATGTGTTTAGCAACCTATTGTGTCCTGGATTTTTTTTATAGATCTATTGCAGATAGGGAACAGGATGAATAATCCATGACATTAAAAGGACATTGGGTTGAAAAATAGATAATTTTATATTTTACATAAAGTTGCTTTTGCCATGTGAATATGATGAAAGATTTTCTGACACTTGGCTTGGAATCTGGAAATAATTCTCTCCTGCTGAAATAGTGATTAGATGTAGGCTGCTGACAAAATCCAGCTGAGACTTCACCCCTTGTTGCAAACCACAAAGAGAAAAAGGAAGAGGCAGAGAAGAATAGAAATTCCCTAATATCACGTGTAGCCTTGCAACACACAGACTTGATTCATTTTCTCATTACCCTTTTCCGTGTCTTGTCTTTGAGGAAGGGCTTGATTAGAGTATAGAGAGCATGGATGTACCACGGCTGGTTCACAAAATGGATGCCTCCAAAGCGAGCAGGAAAGCTGTCCTGTGGAGAAGAAAGAAACAGATTCTAATTAACAGAGACTGACAGAGATAAACAGCGGGGCCTGTTGTCCGGAGTCAGAGGAGAAGGAGAAGTCAAAGGAGAAGTCTTGGCTATTAATTGGTGCATTTGAGACACAATTCAACCACGCAGCCATGCTACACTGTGCTTTAGTCCTCGATTTGCTCTTTTATGCAATAGAACAAATTTGAAAAACCCACAGCTGGGGCTTACTCTCATCCTAGTTCTATTTTCATGAGAGTTTGTATATGTGCATATCTATCAAGCATGAATATGACGTGGTTTGTGGTTTGTATTTCCCAACGGGCTCACAGAACTAAGTCCCATTAGACATCTACAGGCATGATTTACCTCTTCACCCTGTGCCTTTGCCCTTCCTCAACCCTTCCTCGAGGCATTGTTTCAATAGCTGAACTTTCTGGGTGAATGAACGGGGCATAAAGGATAGAGGAAGGTGTTAAGTGAAGCTGTCGAGAGGGAGGAACAGCAACAGCGCCATGGCAACTGACACAAATGCCTGCTTTGGGGGTTCTGAACAGATACCCAACAAATTAGTATGCAGGTAGAGTCAAGCTTTTCAGAGTCAACAACAGTAGGATTCTTTTTCAGGTAACCAGAATGCAGCATCTGAAATTATATTTCTCATAGATCCTGTTAAATCAGTACATTAGATTCAGAGGGAAACAGGGAATAAACTAACAGCGAATGTATTCATTCCAAATGCACTTAAGATGAAGGGCAAATTTCTTCTCTTGAGATTTCTGAATACAAGAGAGCTGTGCATTCAACAGAACCAAATAGCTGTCTTTACAATATACTACTCAATTATTCATTTATTTAACACATTTATAACCTGCTTGCTCCAGATAAAACTAGCCAGTAGCAATTTACAATATAAAAACAAAACATTAATAATAAAAGCTCACCAGTAGAAAAACAGAATTAAGCTCACAAAGGACTATATAAAATTCAGAAACTGTAGGTAACCAGAACATGGCAAGCAGGCTCCTTTTGGGATTTCTCAGAAAAAGCAGATGCCTTGTTGAATGTTTTCCACAGATCCAATATTTTGTGTAGAACACCCTGCAAGAATAGATGGATTGAGGCCAAATTTCTTTAAAAAGTAAATGAAATTCCTACCATTTCAAAACAAATGCATAATTTGAACACCCTGTTCAAGCAATCAAATTCAATCATAGTTTTAACTCTAAAACTGTGACCATCCTAGACCAAGCCAAACCCCAAAATGCTAGGGAATGTCTAGAAGCTTGGCCTTCTGACAAACTAGCCATCAATCGACACATAGCCATAAGCAATATTTACCGGTATATACTATGCAAAAGAAATAATCCACAAGCCAAAAAGAGGACAAAAAATACCAAAGCATCTCCCACCACCATTCAGCACCTAGATGAGCATTGATTAACTTCAAGAATAATATCAAACCAATAAGGAACTGCCAAACAAGCCAACAATAAACAGCCCAATCCTCTAAAACACCCCCACCAACACTGAGCAAGCCACTAGAATATAAACTGAGAACAAACCCTACTCCTTACTAGCACTGATGATGTTACCTAGTTTGGTAATGAAACATCTACAAGAAAACAACCAAGCTCAGAGGGGATTAAGCGTCCCTCATTTCAATCCTGAGCCAAAAATATTCTCTTTTATCATATCTCTTTTTCTATTGCACCTTAGAGCAGGTGCAGTATCCTCTAGGTTTTCTGATTTTCTGTTTAAGAGACCCTAATGGAATGCCTGTTGCTAGGTTATGCCTCTTCAAAAAAATCCTGTTATAAACATTTTCATTCTGAATATCTTTGCCAGCTAGATGGAAATAGAACCACAGAACTTAATAGCATATGATTAATCCTGTTAAACCATTTCTTTCATACTTTTCACTGTAGGAAATAAAGCAAGGAAAAATCAAACAGGAAGTCTTTCTTCATAATACTTTTGTGACATTAGTTTATCACACCTTGTTCATGAATATCACTAGCATGTTAGCTGCAAACCTTTACTTCCTGCTGGTAAATGAAGCACTTTCTTGATCTGCCCACATGCTCCCATTTAGAAAATTATATTCAGTTTCATTCTTTTTAGCATGAAAGTCAGCATTATAACTGAATCAAATATGCCAAGAAATTAGGAAACAAGAAAACAGCCAGTCTGTGGGTTTGGCAAAAGCTAGCAAGCAACACAGATGGGGGAACAAAAAAAAACCTGATGAAGGGAGGGAAGGAAGGAGGAAAGAAGGAAGGAAGAAAGGAAATATTACAGAGATAATCAAATTTAATATCCTTAATTTAGTTTCAATTCATTTCAGCACTGCCTTTATAGTTATTGTCAGCATTGCTATTGCTGGCAAAGAACATTTTTAGGATCATCTTTAATTCTGAACAAATGAAGAGACTAACAAATGAAGGCAATCTGATATTCATCCTCTAAATTCCTCTTACCCATTCAAAATGCTGAGCAGTATTTTGACTATACCCAAATCTTATCACTTTCTTTAATATGGTATTTATAATGTTACATTAAAAGTATAAGTAAAACTTCCACTGAAAGAAATCATCCCAAACCCATTAATTTTCTGTTAGATTAACAGAAAATGCAAAAATGCAAAAAGGATGAATCTGGTAAATACAAAATGTACAAATAAGGAAGAATATATGTAGCTTAGGGATGAAATGAGGGGTGCTTTGTGCTCTCTGAGCTTACTTGTTTTCTTGCAGATGTTTCATTAGCCTGACTAGGTAACATCATCAATGCTATTGAGGAGTGCTGTTTGCTGTCAGTTTCTATTCTGGTGGCTTGCTTGTCTGTGTGGATGGGAATGGTTTTACAAATCATTTGATTGGCTGTTTATTGATGGCTCTTTGGCAGTTTCTTGATTGGGGTATTGTTTACTTAATTGTTGATTTGAAGTTAACCTTCAACTTAATCTATGCTGATCTGATTACTGATTACTGGTGGAGAGGTGTTGGAGTCTTCTTGTTCTCATTTGGACTGATTGATTGTTTCTTTTGCATTGACTATAGATGTTGTTAATGTCTATGAGTCTATTGAGGATGGATTTGTGAGAGTGCCAGAATTCTAGAAATTCTCTGGCATTTTTGGATTTGGCCTGGTCTAGGGTTGTCACATTTTCCCAATTGAAACTATGGTTAAACCTGTCTATATATTGTGAAATTAAATATAATTTTTAATGAAAAATTTTTCACACGTCTCCACCAGTAATCACCACTCAGATCAGCATAGATTAATTCCAGCGTTAACTTCAGACCAACAATCAAGAAACTGCCAAAGAGCCATCAGTAAACAGCCGAACCAAAGGATCTCTAAGACCTCCCCCAGAATATGAACTGACAGCAAACTCCTTATTAGCACTGATGATGTTACCTAGTGAGGGTAATGAAACATCTACAAGAAAATAAACAAGCTCAGAGAGTACCAAGGACATCCTAAAGAGACTTCTGCTTAACCATCAAATGAAAATCTTATGATGATCACAGAGTAGCTTAAGGAGGATGGGATACAATCAATTAAAAAGCATAAATGGTAAATCAGAGTCCAAAATAATATCAATTTTTAAACAGTTAGAGCAGATAAAACAGAAAGTACGTATATATTAAAACAAGAGTGTAAAAGGAATCTAGAAGAATTAGTTGGGTGTAGGGAAGTATAAAAGTTAGTATGTTGCAGACTATATCCTCACATTACTAGATGTTTGTTTCCATCATCTGATAGATTTTAAGGACTGCTATGCACAACCTGGCAACAATATATGTTGTCACAGGATTGGTATCTGAAAGCAGTTGCTATCTGTAGAATTGCTCCACAAGCCCTGGATATTTGTGCAATATTAGTGAGATGATGGTAATAGAGATGTTTCTGTAACCCAAGCGCTAGAGAAGCACATGATCTGTTGGTGGCAGAAATAAAGAAGTTTGCCATAACTTTAAAATAAGGAAACATATGTTTTTACAGAATATGAAAGGAATATGTTCATGCTGATGAAGCAAAAACTATTGTAATAAGCTGAAACATTTATTTTATTGATAATGGTTGTCTAAATTTTGAACTAAAAGATCTGTAAAAAGGATGGAAAAACCATGCTCTCTGTGGCTGTTCAAAGCACCTTGACAGCTTTGAGTGAATAAATATATTTTGACTCTCCACTGATTATCTGGTGATTTTGACTAAGTTCCTAGCTTGAAAACAAACAAAGAAAAGGAAGAAATCTCATCTTTCTGACACTCAGAGATGGGTTCTTACCAGTAGTAACTTGGCGACCTGGGTCACTGGAACCGCCAGACCCCTGAACCGGTTCTCCTATGGGGCCCCTATCTTGTTTTCGGTTCTGCACGTGCACAGAACAATTTTCAGTGCAAAAAGTTTTTTTCATTTTTTAAATTTTTGTGCATGCGCAGAGCTTTTTATTTGCAAATGTGCATGTGCATGGAGCACACATCCGGCGTGTGCATGGGTGAAGCCAGCGTGCATGCGCAAAATGTTTGAGCTATTGAACTAGCAGCAACCCACCTCTGCTGACACTCTCATAGTTGTGCAATTCCTAACTGCTTTTTACTATTTATACTTTGCAAATTCAGCTTAATACATCTTTAAAAAGAGGAATCAATTTTGCATATACATTATTGCAGCATTACAGACTTCTGTTATAACTCGAGAGTCAGTTTGGTCTAGTGGTAAAGGCTCTAGGCTAGAAAGTGGAAAACCATATACCTCCCTTTATTTGTACATTATTGTGACATTTCCCTCTAAACAAGTCTCTCCAGAGGCAATATATATTTAAAAAAAATAAGAACCTTAAGATGGCATTTACATCATGAATGAAGTTTACTGGTGTACAGAATAAAGCAAAGAGAATGACATTATGCATAATAAATGCCCCATGCTATTCCAAACAAATCTATATGCAGTAAATCAATGATAAAGCAAGCCATTATTCATTTACAATAAATACCAGAACTAAATAATGTGGTTGCTACCCAATAATTAGTTATAGGAAAAATATAATCTATCCCTGACAGTAGCATCAGATAGTACATATTTGTGAATGAAGATAAATTGCACAGGAGGAAAGACAATATTCATGCAGTTTGTGAAAGAGGAAAAACACTATTGTTTCATTCTTCCATTTTTCTTCCTCAGCAAGACTGATTTCTGCTTTCTTCACTACACCATTAAACAATCTAAATATCAAAGGCTGATGAATTTCACCATTCTGGGAACAACCATAAAGCATTACATTGCAATGTAAACACAGCAAAAAAGGCAATGAAAAATTTATGCCAATTCCAGCTGTCCTTCTCCTCAAGCAACTATCATAAGTAAGTTATGTAATTCTATTTTAAGGATTTGTTTCCTTAAGCTGGGTATCAATGGCTAATTGCATGACAGATCCATTCACAGGCACAAAGTATTTTGACCAGCCATTTTCACAACTCTTTTAAGAACCAAAGTGTACAACTTCTTTAACTCTGTCTTACTCTTCCCCTATCACTTTATATTTCTTAATTCATTCACCATATACTTTAAACTTCATAACAGACCTATTCTGGACTATTAGAATAGACATTGAATTTTTATACTTCTTAGATCAGTGTTTTTCAAACTTGGCAACTAGAGCATTGGAAATGATAGTCACATGACTATGGCTGATCGCAAGCAGCACAGCAGTATGGCAGTACTAAAGCAGACACAAATTTATCAAAATTTAATCTCACATGGTTAGGGTTAGGGCTAGAGTGGGCTCTGGATTTTGCATGCATTGTGAAAATGAGCCCATTTGAGGTATGTTGTTTCAAAAATTGATGCTTGATGATGTGTTATTTTGTCCTGTTGAAGGTTGCAAACAGACACAAGAGATTGAGTAGTAGATAGATAGATTAATATACATGCCAATGCCATTGAGTCTACGTCATTGTTGATGATTCACAAAAATGCTACATACATTTTTCTCAATATCCCCTTTTTTACCAAACTAGGTAACATCATCAGAAAAGAGCTCTGATTTTCATATACTAATGGATTACCCTGTCAGTGTTGACCAATTGTTTCACAAACAGGGTTTTGATTGGTGCCAGATCTCTTCAACTTCAGGCAGAGAAGGGTTACTCTCTGCACCCCTCCCTCAAATGTTCTTTAAAATACAGAGTTTTCCAGCATTCCTTTAGGAACCTCCAACATGCAAACTGTAGCTACTAATCCTAAAATGAATCCTCTTTACTTGGAGCTTCAAAATTTGCTGTTTGCTGGGAAGATGTGTAGCTAAAAGTCAGTCTACATTTAGTGTACATCTGACTTTGGGGATATTTTTTTCATAACCAAACAAAAGTGCATTTTCTGTGCAAATCACACCCCTTGTTCACTGAATCTGGATGTCACAAAGCAAAGCCCACATTTTGTAATGAACCCCCACACTCTGTTTTGCCTGGCAGAGTGCTGCAGGAGACTGAGTGCTGTCACACACCCTGGCCATGCCCACCCAGCCATTTATTAGGTCAGAGAATTGGTTAAAAAGTTTACAGCCCATCACTGGATATAGCCATTATTTAGGCTCCTTCTTTGCCCACATGAAACCGTTGGGTGAGATCATTCGGAGGCACGGGATAAAATACCATCAATATGCGGATGATACACAGTTGTATGTCCGCCCCGTGCCAACTCAATGAAGCGGTGGACGTGATGAGCCGGGGTCTTGAGGCAGTTAAGGACTGGATGA